TCTTTGATTAATATCTTTTTGGTAATTTTTAGTTGTAGAGTGTAAAAAGTAGTTTTAACATTTACATTTATTGTTCATCTATAATTTTAATTTTGTGACCCACCTATGTTCTACTATGTTTTAGTTCTTTTTTTTATTGATTTATTGGGGGCATTTATATATATAGGATACTATACCTTATTAAATATACTGCAAACTCTTTATTCAAATATATATCTAGATTTTGAACTTTATTTGTAGTGTTAGTTGTCCTAAACTGTTTTGTTGTTGTTGTTGTTGTTGTTGTTGTTAGTTCAAATCTACCTGGCTTTTATGGCATCTTACTCTTGAATGTTTCTTGGGAGGTTTCTCCATTTTAAGTTTGTAAATATTTGCATTTAAATTAATTGCAATTAAACTAGAATATTAAATTAATTGCACTTAAACCAGAATATGTTTATATATTTACATTTATATGTGCATAAACACTTTAAAAAGAAGTTTTTAGTTTCTTGAGAACACTTCATTTTTCTAAAGCACCTTTAGTATTACAGCAAAATTGAGAGGAAAGTACAGATAGTTGTGTAAAACTCCTTCCCTCACACATGAATAGCTTCTTTCATTATCAACATTCCCCACAAGAAAGGTACATTTGTTATAACTGATGAACCTACATTGACACATGATTATCACCCAAAGGCTAAAGTTTATATTTGAGTTCATTCTTGGTGTTATTCATTCTGTGGTTTTGAACAAATGTATGATGACATGTATCTACCATTACAGTATCAGACAGAGTAGTTTTACTGTTCTGCAAGTCCTGTGGGCTCTGCCTATTCATTTCTCCTTTCTCCCAGTGCTTGGCAGCCTCTGATCTTTTTATTGTTTCCATCATTTGGTCTTTTCCAGAATGTCAGGTAGTTGAAATCCTACAGTATGTAGCCTTTTCAGATTACCTTCTTTCACTTGGTCATATGCATGCAAGTTTTCTCCATGTCATTTCATGGTTTGGTAGTTCATTTATTTTCAGTGCCAAATAATATTCCATTAATGGAAGTAATGGAAACAATAATATTCCATTGTTTCTATGTGTAGTGCATTTTATTCATCCATCTACCTTCTAAAGCACATCTTGGTTGTTTCCAAGTTCTGGCAATTATGAATAAAGTTGTTATAAACATGTATGCCTGTTTTTGTGAATACATAAGTTTACAACTCCTTGGGTAAATACCAAGGAACATGATTAGTGGATCATATGACTAGTTTATGTTTAGTGTTGTTAGAAACTACCAACCTGCCTTCCTAAGTGTCTGTACCATTTTCCATTCCTTCCAGCAATGAATGAGAGTTTCTATTTTTTTTCACATCCCTGCTAGCATTTAGTATTATCAGTGTTCTGGATTTTGGCCATTCTAATTCAGCATTTTATATTTTGGTATCTTATGATGGGAGAATATTTTCATATCCTTATTCTTCATCGGTATTAAGGTCTTTGGCCTTTTTTAAGATCAGCTTCTTACTGTTGAGTTTTAAGAGCTTTTTATAAGTTATAGCTAAGAATCCTTAATCAGATAAATCTTGCAAATATTTTCTCCCAGTTTGTGGCTTGTCATTTCATTTTCTTCACAGTGTCTTTCAAAGTAGAAATTATCCATTTTAATGAAATCCAGCTTGTGAATTCTTTCTTCAGTGAATTACACCTTTGGTGTTATATCTAAAACAGCGCCACCAAACCTAAGGTTATGTAGATTTTCTACACATTTTTTTAATAGGACTATTCATCTTTCTTTCTCAAAATTTTGGATGCTCATTTGTCTTTGGTTCTGCTTATTATATTTTTAACCATACAAACAGGTTTACAGTTTTATGTAAAAGTATTTTTTATCACTTCTCAATTTTGTAGCGAGGAAACGTTTTTCACAATTCCAAGTAAAACGAAATATATTCATTTTCATTTTATGCCATAATGTACCATAATTAAATGATCTTCAGATTTATTCTATATTGTTAAGTTTAAAAAGCAAGGTTCAGAACAGTGTGTATAAAATGCTATTTTTTTTTAGAATGTGGTGTGTGTGTAGTCACACATGGGTGCTTCTATACACATTCATACACATTTTTATGTCTAAAAAGATATAAAAAAGGCAAATTAAAGGATAAACCAAAAAATAGTGAAAATGGTTATCTATGGCTTGTTGCAGGGGGCAGTAAGTATGATAGAGGCAACAGGGATGAAAGCAGGATCACCTGTCCAAATATGTTACTTGTTTTATAGTTTCAACTTTGAAACCACATAGATATTTCATGTAATTATAGAGCAAAATTAAATCAAAATTAAATACAGCAAATCCTAAAATTAAAAGAAAATTAAACCATGAATTTAACTGTGTACCAAGCTGATGACTTATTTTAAGTGACTTTATAGTAATATTATTATACATCTCTAGGGGCATATATTTTAAGGGCAGAACAATTGAAGGAATCAAATAATATTTGATAATCAAGTATTACTAATATGATATTTAGTAATATGATATTTTTATTTTGAAACCATAAAATTTTATGATAAAGCAAATACTCATATTAAAATCTCTAGTGACCAAAATTTGTAGCATAAGAGCAAAGATGGGCACATGTATCAAAGATATATTTCATTTGTATATATTTTAAATTCAATAAAAAATTAGTATGAATTTATGATATGCATTTTTATCCTTCAAAACATATTTGTATTTTCTAGCTTTGTTCAATAAAAAGACCTAGAAATATGAATAGTACTCTAGCAGTAAGCTTTATTGAGTCTTAGTTGTAATCTTTGAATACCATTTTCCGCTAAGAAGAGCTTTTTTGAAGAAATGTCTGATTCCAGATCTTGAGTGGGAAATCTGACATAAGCCTGGAACATCTTGTTATAACAGAAAGTAGTAGAGTTAAGAAAGATAGCGAGGTCATGTCATAGTAACCAGTTTGAAGAGACTACCATTGGCCAACAATGGGATAATTTTGGCCAGAAAAAGACTGCTAGGATTGAAAAACATTAAATATGTTCAAAAGCTAAGAATCATAAAGATACAAACAAAACAAAATAAAAATCCACATTGATCACCTCTGGAGGGTACTGGGGGATAAAGTTATTTTCAGTACTGTAATATAAAGGAATCATGTACCTATCCTATTCTTCCCATAAGAACTTTATTTGAAAGTAATGAAATAATGAATGAGATTAATTTATTCTTTATAGAATGATTTTTACTAATAAATGAAGAAAGAATAATAGAATTAGACTACCGCAAGTTTACAACCTTTATTTATTAAAATGCTATCTGTAGGCAATAATCATACTAATATCCTCAGGTGAAACATGGGTAAGGAGCAGGATACTATTAATAGATAGACTCAGCTGACAACAAAAAGACCCCACTGGTCAAACTTAACAGTGCAGAGGGACAGCCAGTTGTTATATGTCAACTGATAGTGGCACAATAAAAAGTACACAACTTTTTAAAAAATTGAACTCGTTCAAGCCCTAACATGTACCAGTTTATACAGCATACATGAGATAGAGAGACAATTTAAATGACATTTCAGAATGCTGTTAACCAAATCTAAATGGCAGAAATTCTCCAAGATAAATGACCCAGTTTCTTGAATAAGTAATAGGCAGGAAATAAAAAGGATGGGGGAACTGTTGGAGATTAAAAGAGAAAGAAAATATCAACCCAAATGCATTATGTAGACAATGTTTGGATCTTGATTTGAAAAAAATCTATATAATAATTGGACTCATCAGGGAAATTTTAACAATGACTGAGTTTTTAATGATATTAAGGAATAGTTAATGTTATATATGTGAAATTATTGTGTTCAGGCTAAAAACAATTCTTATCTCTTAGAGATACAAATGAAAATATTTACCAGTAAAATGATATAATCTCTGGAATTACTTTTTTTTTCGAGACAGAGTTTCACTCTTGTTACCCAGGCTGGAGTCCAATGGCACGATCTTGGCTCACTGCCTCCTGAGTTCAAGCAGTTCTCCTGCTTCAGCCTCCCAAGTAGCTGGGATTACAGGCTTGTGCTACCATACCTGGCTAATCGTGTATTTTTAGTAGAAATGGGCTTTCATCATGTTGGTCAGGCTGGTCTTGAACTCCTGGCCTCAGGTGATCCAGCTGCCTCTGCCTCCCAAAGTGGATTACAGGCATGAGCCACCACGCCCAGCCTTCTGGAACTACTTTTAAATAATCTTGTGAAGGGGAAAAATGGAAAAGATCATTTATCTTGGATGACAAGTACATAGGGTTATTACAGTATTTTTTACACATTTGAGTGTTTGAAATTTTATGTTATGAATTGTTCTTAATCTAAAAAACTAATTCAGCTTTAATATTTTTAAATTAAAATGGAATCAAATTTCATAAATTACCAAAAAAAGAACTTTGCCTTTTTCTTTGGAGATGGAGTCTTGCTCTGTCGCCCAGGCTGCAATGCAGTGGTGCAATCTTGGCTCATTGAAACCTCTGCTTCCTGGATTCAAGCAATTCTCCTGCCTCAGCCTCCCGAGTAACTGGGATTACAGGCACACACTGCCATGCCCGGGTAATTTTTGGTGTTTTAATAGAGATGGGATTTCGCTCTGTTACGCAGGCTGGTCTCAAACTCCTGAGCTCAGGGAGTCTGCCTGCCTTGGCCTCCCAAAGTGCTAGGATTATAGTGTTAGAGACATGAGCCACCATGCCTGGCCAATAACTTCCATAATTTTAAACCTGAACAGTTGGAGTGTGTCTGTCTATACATTTATACCTGCAGAAATATTAACAGAATTTATTCAGTACAAATGTTGTACTTGCTCTGGAACCAACACATACTTATCTTGAAACTATAGCACGAATCTAAGTTTTTCTTATAAGTCATTCTCACATTTATCAGTAACATCAGAGAAACCTTTGAGATAGGTCTAATGCTCTGTATTCTTCCTATCATACCTCCCTCTTACCAAGGTCCTAATACTTATTTTTCAGGTACAGCAGGTACAGACTGTGCAGCAGGTACAACATGTCTATCCAGCTCAGGTGCAGTATGTGGAAGGAAGTGATACTGTCTATACCAATGGAGCAATGTAAGTTTATATGTGGAAGTCTTTTTAATTCCTCCACTCAGAGAGCACTTTTGAAACCCTCTCACTATTCCCAAGTTGTTTCCTTGTTTTCAAAGTAATTTTCTACTAGAACAGAGTTATTGAAGTTAAGCTGATGTTTAGAGCTTTTATCTATATTTATTAACAATATGCACTCATTTTCCTTTGACTTAACCCCATAGGTTTTTTTTTTTTAATTATTAAAAGTCTTATGCCCTTTAATAATTGTTTCTAGGTAGAGAAAAAAAATGTATATATCCCTTGTTAGTGATATCTGTATTTTAATGATAGCTTCTAAACTCCATGCTTTTTGTTTTTCTATGCAAGGTGAATTTTTATGTGTATGTGTGTGTAAATGAATATAAAACAAGTATATTAGGAATCTGGGATATTTTTAACATTTTGAAAATAAGATATTCCACATAAAATTGCCTGATACTCAGTAAATCTTACTTTCCTATCTAAACCTGCCCCCTGCCTGAAACCAACTTACCTCTTTTGCATCAACAATAGTGTGAATTTGTAAATTTATTTTATTTGGGTTTCTTAGCTACTTTGGAATGCGATGCAGAATGTTAGTAAAGGAACTGAGAATTATTGTAAGTCACTAGGATTGTTTCCAAGTTGGATTTGCAACCTGTTGACTTCCTTGGTAAACCTGAAATGAATTCAGGTTCTCTCACTGACTCTTCTGCCCACCTCCCACCAATGTTGGTATACCCCAGGATGATAACCTCTACTCTGTTTATTCTTATGACATCTACTCTTTCCTTGGGTGATTTCATTTATTTCCATGATGTCAACCTGTAAGTTCCATGAAAGAAGGACTTCTTTTGTTTTTTTCATCACTGTAATAACGCTTAACACCAGAAGCATGGAGGACATATGAGTTCAATTATCTATTGTTATTATAACTAAAAACAGAATTCTTGTTAGCTTTGTATTCATTTCATAATTGTGACCAACGTACTTAAATAATCTGAGCTTTTCTTTATTGTTTCTGTGGAAGTGGGAGAAGAATAATCACACTCTTATTGAGTTTCTGTGAGGATACAAGGAAATATATTTAAAGTACCTAATACAGAGCCTGGTACATGATACATGATACAAAACTGAAAGCTTTTCATTGACTCTGACTTCTCTCTTTTCTTACTATATTTGGTCCCTGAATCTACCCACATCACTACTGTATTTAACACTACCTCCATTACCTATAAAATAAAATCTAACATTCCATGTTGGCATTCTCCCCATCCCTACCTCCCTAGCCTTATTTTCTACCTTCTAGGCATAACCAACTTTGTGCATTTTTCCCCAAATATTCTCCTTTCATACTTCTGTTTTTGGTCATGTCATTTTCTCTCTGCTGACATAGCATTCTCTGTCTTCTCTTCTTTCCTCTCAGTCTCCCCAAACCCAGTCTAGTGTGATCTTTATAGACAGACATGTAGCCCCTTTTTTGTGACATAGAGTCTGACTGTCCCCCTCTGCAGTTAGCTTATCCTTCCCTTATAAAGGGCAATGTTGACACTGACTTTTACTTCCAGCATTTTACTATGAATGCTTGTTTATGTTTCCTATAGTAGGAAGAACTCTCCCTGAATGGGAACTTGGCATTTTATTTTATTTACATTTACTTAGGTGGCTGGCACATAATAAAGTCAATAAATTTCTGTTACCTTATTAAATCTATAGCTCTTTACATGTTTTAGACATACTGTGAATGTTTTTCACTCTACCTGTTTGTTGTATATGTCCAGGGCCCCCTGGAGCCTGATTTTGGAATCGTCACCATAAACTTAAACTACCATTGGCATTTATACCAAATGAAAAAGACGCCTGCCACTTCGACCTTTATGCTATCAGGGGTCTTTCTAGACACTACTAGAGGTCACCCAGTTGTCAGTTGCCATTTCATCTTTGTCTGTGACAAGTAGTAATGGTCACCTACAGGGGAATCTGAGAATGGGAGTTTGTAGCTTTCATGTCTGTTGTAGTAGACTCTGACAAGGGAAAAGGGCAGTTGGAATGGGTGTTGAGAGAGTTAACTGTATAGTATGTATCACAGTTATTTCTCATTTTGCACTGGTCCAAGCTAAGGTAGAGAGATTAGTCTGTTATGTATGAAATGAAGTACCAGTTGAGCCTAAAATCTGAAATCCAAAATACTCCCAAATCTGAAACTTTTTGAGCACCAACATAATACTCGAGGGAAATGCTCATTATGCATTTCAGATTTTAGATTTTCAACTTAAGGATGCTCAACTGGTAAGTATAATGCAAATATTTCAAAATGTGAAAACATAAAAAATTTGAAACACTGCTTGTTCCAAGCATTTTGGATAAAGGCTACTCAACCTGTAACCTCAGTTTATCAAAAGTGCTTCATGAACCATCTAAAGAATAGTAAGCACTCAACAAACGTTAGTTATTGCTGTAAAATTATACACTTTTGTTATTTGTTTACAACTTTTCTTCCCTATTTACAATTCTAAATTCCGCATATTGTCTTGTGCAGTTTTAAACTGCTTTACCACTGATCTTAGGGTCTTTCACATAATAAGTAAAAATGAGTTGAATGAATTTACTCATTCATAAAACCTTAGAAAAATAGCATTTGTAAGGTGGTTCTTTAAAACTATAGGGCCCATTTAAGTGCAGAAATGATACAAAGCAAAATATCTAGTGGTAACATGTATTATCTATGGCCAACTAGCTCAGTTCGTTAGATCATGACTAATGAGGTCTAGGTCATGAGGTCATTTGTCACAAAGTCCAGTTAGCTTTGATCTGGTCTGTGTGGACTCAGATTGTATCCTCAACTCTAGCCAATAACGTCACAAATGTGCACTTTTGGTCGAGAGAGAAGTTGCATCTTTAAAAACCTTTCATTACTATCAAAGATAATTTTTGACTAAAGGTTCTGTAGCATCATTTTTATACTTAATAAGAAAAATCATTGTGTTGCCATGAATTATACTCAAAATTTAAGAACTAGGGACTATGAATATTTTTTCTCAAATATGACTAGAAAATTTTTTCAGCATAAGCTAATTTAATCTGTCTGCAATTTTGTGGTGCTGACATTTGACTATTAAAATTTTTGTCTCTAATGTTCATTTTAGAGTCTTTCTATGGCTTCTTTTTATTTGGTACACTTCCATGTGTGTTAGGAAAGAATATTCCATATTCTTCTATCCTACCACACTGAATTAATAGCAAGTTAGTATTTGATCCCTGACTTGGATCACAGTCAGAGTCCCGCTTCTGTGTGATAATAAGTGCTTTTTGCTAATGATACTTTCAGAAGATAGGGACTCTGATGTTTATCATGAACTTTTGAGCACTCAGTACATGGCCCTATAACCTGAGCATGCTTAGTAAGTTCACTAATGCTCTTGTCACCAGCATCCCCATGTCATGTAGCCATAATGCATGGGGTCTCATTCAGGAGGTGATGACAGCCCTCATAGATATGTGTCATCACTTATGAAAACTTGTAATCATTCTAATTTGATGATACTAAAGTGTTTACCTGGTTCTCCCTGTGAATATGGACAATTACTGCCAGCATAACAGGCTTAACAGTGTGGGTTAGTGAGTGAGCATACATTTCAATTAAACAACTGAGATTACTTTACAGCGCTAGATGTTGGAATAGAGTAGTTTTTTGCTAAAGGGAGAAAAAAGTAGTTTTTGCAAAAACTACTTTGTCCTTGCGTATATAGGAACCGATGCTACATCATTTGTGTATTTCCTTGAAGTAGTTTTTCCAAAATTTTCCCAAAGTCTTGATCATCATCTTTATTTCTATAAATTCTTACTATTTATGATATTTAATCATTTAGAATACTATGATTAAACCTGCTGGGAACATTGCATACCATGTAGAGAGAGAGTTCATTTCAATGGAAATGTCTTTGTGTAGCTAAGAAATAACTTTTTAAAAATAAAATGATTTTTTTTCTTCCCCCACTCTTTTTTGACTCATACTTTCCCCACTTGCTCCTACGTTATGCTAGTCAAAATGGAAATAAAGACATCATGCTGTATTATGGTCAAATTAAGAAATCTTTATTTTAAAGGATTTTCTTATATAAACCACTCTTTGAAGCTTGCCCACTGTTTACAATCAGTGTTTTAAAATGCAAAAGTATTCATAATATAGATATCTGTTCTAGTAGTCTTCCTGTTTAGATTATAGGTTTCCCAACTCCAGTACATAACTTCTCATACCATGATCCATTATGCATTAGTCCCATGAGAGTTCTGTGGTTACATGAGCAGGGAAACACTTTGTGATTTCCTTTCTCTTGAGAACCCTCAATTCCTGTTACCCTTTTAAGAGCTCTGAAAAGTCCTATAGCAATGCATGGAACCACAGAACACTGTTATCTGAATAATATCTAATAAAATCACATGGTATGCTTTGGGAAATGGTACACTAATATATATTGACATTGAATAATTGAAAATCCATTTTTAAAATATATACCTGTAGTCATCTCTTGAAAATCATGTATTAATGCATTTTTGAAGTCACTTAATTATTTTTCCATAAGGTTTAAATGATTAATAGGAACCTTAAAAGGGATATTCCTCGATCCCTTTTCTTCCTTTGTAAGTAAAATATTAAATTTCAGTTTTTGCAGGTGAGATTATGCTTTCTTCTTATTATTCAAATGCTCTCTCCTTTAAAAAAATGGTTACATGAAATTCTGTAATTGAGATGTAGGGGTGCTTTCTTCATTTATGTGTCTGCTGATGTACAACGCATTCTGACTGGTATAGGAGTTAGTTTGTGGATCTACTTGCTGTTTAGATTTCTCTTGAAGAGAAGACTGCCCTTCTGTGGAAAAGACTATGGAAGGGCACCTTATTCTCCCTCTAATACCTAGAACAATGGCCAATGATAGGTGCTCAATCTATATTTGTTGAATGAATTAAAGAAGGCTAGCATTTAATGGCAGGTGAGACAGGAG